TTCGCGTTGTTACCAAAACATACGCAAAGCAATAAATTTCCCGTGGAAGGATATTAAAAACTAGAAAGGGGAAAGGATAGTCAACAAATTTTGACTTGTCTATCATTTTTTTATTACACACCTTAGTGTGATGAACCCCAGATGGGGGAGGATTTGCTGTCCGTGGAAACCAGTAACCTGATCCGCAGGATTTGGAGCGGAGAACCGCACAAGACCCCGATAGGTTAGGTGTGGTATCGAACCGAACAGCAAAGCTGCCTACCACCCTAGTTTGGTGATGGCAGCGGCCCAACCTCGAACTACAGGGTCCAAAGCAAGCCGGCGACGGTGATTAAATCACTGCGCCACCACCAGTATGGCGTAACACGATTATCTGTGCCAGCAGAGATACTAGAGCCTCTAACTTTGAGGACTAACGAGACGAACAATCGGTAGTCTTTAGTTACGCACAATACTGAGAATGACAAAATGAGCGGCACTGAGCAGTGATCAATAATCGATTGAACACGACCTGCAATCATGCAGCCAAAATTTGCGCATGAAAATGCATGGTTAACGATTGTGAAAACTGGATTGAAGTAAATCATCAGAGAACAGGAAACAAAAAAAATAAAATAACATGCGCTCTCTCAAATCAGCTCATCTTCGTCATTAAGCTTTACATTCTTAGTATGACTGCTTAGTTTTATTCATCCTTCACACTCAGTGAGATAACAGCTCTTGAATTATTCAATTAAGAGTGATGCCGCTGAAATGCCATTCAACATGAAAGCTACAACAACAGAAGCCGCAAGCGAAAACCTCTTTTCTTGTCACTGCTGTGAACCGGCAAGAAATAGTGACAAACCTTTTTAGTTCTTGCGTAATCATCTTCTGGTGAGCGAAAACAGGAATGTGCGTCACGCTAAACGAAGAAAGAGAATCATAAAGATAGTATTAATAGCTTTAATGGCAGTCAAAGATAGGGAAACAGACATTTTCATAAGTTGTACGTTAAATAACTTTTTCAATCCCACCCCCCCCCCCACTCCTCTCCTGTGAGTGAAGATGGTATCTAGATGAATATTTTGGCGGCTTGGAGCTTAAAGTGCATCATCCGACCAGTAATTTTTAAGTTGGAGCAGAAAATCCTCCTTACTCCCATTGGGATTGTGTTCGTTTAGCAGGGAACCACATGTTTCCCGATACTTAGACTAACAATGAAAATATGCCTTGGTTAAGAACTTTATCTACTGATGTGATACGAAAGCAACCTAGAGTCTGATGAAGTCACAAAAATTGAAGTTGTCTACGGTAAGTGTGAATAAACAAGCTTAAAGGCTCACGCGTAACTTAATATGGTTCTTTCGCCTTAGAACACGGGGCCAAACTGGTCGATCGGAGAACATCATTGAAAGGTTTGAGTTCTAGCAAATTTCCAGTTTAGGTTGTCGTTAATCGACACTACTGAATGATGGACCTCAGTTGAACCAATCTCTAATGAATGGTTCCGGAGCTCTAACAACTCCAGCGGAGAGCTGCCTTATTGATTACGCTGGTTATGGTTACAGACAGAGAACTTGGGGCATTAAGTGTGGTCTTCAAACGGTTGAAGTTGGTCAGTAAACTAAACAAGCAAGGAAGTGTTAACTGATCAGGTTGTCAAACGCTATTTTTTGAACCGGGGGATGTCATCCACGAATAGATTGCCGGTGGGCGAGAAAATATAGTTCGAGGCTGACATTTAAGTTGCGTTATGTAAAGACTGCTCAAAATTCGTGATTATCTAAAAACCACAATGTCCACTAGAATTCAAAAGTAATCCACGATTGCCTATTTCATTGCAATCAGAAATTGAGTTACCCAGAGGGCAGATCAACTTACTTTTTTTCCGTTTCTCAGACTTGGGTCATACACAGAAATGTTTGAACCTGACGGCCTCTGCAATAGGGAAGGTATGACTTAACGAAATGGGCACCGAAGCTCCTGGCAAGTGAGTTTTCAAATAGCATTTCAACGTTTTACGTGACGAACTAATATTCCAATATGAACATAAACATTAGAGATAAGTGAGTACTTGCAACGGGGATTTACGGTACTCGAATGTCACTAGGACCATTATAGCAACGCAATACAAAAGCAGACCCAATTTCAGGAAACCCTCGAAACCCGACAGCATTACATGATGAAAGCAAACAAAAGACATTAGAACATCAGTAGATTTAAGTATTTTGTCTTCATGCATGTCTGAAATATAGCCCTCACTCACCCCTTCAGGAGCTCTCATTGGGACGACCATTATGATTGCGCGCACACTATCCGGAGAACGGCGGCCCGAGCACCGACAAACAAAATCATTTCGCGGAAAATTTGAAATTCAGCTCAGGTCAGGTCAGGTTGCACAGGACTGAATATGGCCACAACCAATCGAGCGTTCAGAATTCCTTTAATGGTATGCTCACAACGTGGGCACCCAGCATTGCTGAAATAAGAATGAGAAATAAAATCTCATCTCACCAATTTGGCGAGTGAATTATTAGACGCGAGCAGGTCAAGTCAGGTCAGGTCAGGTTGCACAGGACGGTAAAGGCTTTCGCCTATCGAGCGTCCAGATTCTTGCTCCAGTCGGAAACACGTCTTCCGAAGCTTTGACTTCTTGTCGACATTTTGACCACAGCAGATTTCTTCGTTTCGAACTGTCGCCCTTGGCGCGTCCGTACCTGCAAAGGGAGGTTATTTGAAAATGAGCAGCAAAGACACCTACTGACAATAGCAGGTACCTTACATGATCTCTGGATACAGGCTCGTCCAGACCCCATCTAGCTGCCTTTTGAACTCGTCGACTGTCCTACAGTCTATTAGTGAAGATGGTAGCTGATTCCACTCATCTATCACTCTACTCGTGAAGAAGTTATACCTAAGGTTAAGTCGGCTCCTGAGCTTCATTAACTTCAAATGATGCCTCATGGTTGACTCGAGCGGTGCTCGGGTAAACAGGCTTTCGGCTAGCCCAGTCAGTCCCTTCATTATTTTAAAGGTTTCAATCATGTCGCCTCTCAGACGTCTCCTCTCCATGGAGAAAAGCCCTAAGGATTCTAACCTCTCCTTATATGACTTACCCTCATTTCCGCGATCATTCTAGTAGCTAACCGTTGCACCCTCTCGAGGCAATTTATATTCTTCTTCAAGTAAGGAGACCAAGCCTGCACGCAGTATTCCAACTGCGGNTAGAGGTAAGAAAACCTCAGCCCTCCTTGACGAAAGGGCCGCCTTGAGCTGGAACAATTGCCCCCTCGTCTTTTGTGCGGCTGCCAGGCCTTGATCACTAGGCTTAAAGTCCTCGCGGACCAAAGTTCCTAGATCCAGCATTCGGTTTACTCGAGCGAAGACCGTCGGTTCCGTGGTCATAGCCACTCGAACCGGAAGCTCTACGGTATTTAGAATACGACACTTGGTAGCGTTTAGCTCCAAAGCCCACTTCATTGTCCACCGGACAACCTTAGTCAGATCAGCTTCCAGTTGATCTACCGGCCCTGAGTTCACTAGGTTGACGTCGTTGGCAAAAATGAAGGCAGGAAGCGCTAGTTCCTGGACCAAGTCATTGATAAACAGCAGGAAGAGCATCGGGCCTAGCACTGAGCACTCCGCTGGATACGTTGCCGACGTTTCACAGAGCTTCTCCCACTCAAACTCTATAGGTCCATGGGTGTACCAGTAAAAAGGGAAAAGTTCAGTTCAGTTCATTTCGGTTCCAGGACGTTGACGGCGGTGTGCCACTTAGTCCAGTTTCTTGCAGCGGTGGGCTTCAGGGATCCCCAGCGCGTGATATCAATTTTTGGAGTGTGTGGTGAAACTCGAGGAAATCTTCTTCAAAGCCTACAAATCAGACCACGGTGGATCCACGTCTAGCTAAAATCGACTGGGTCAGCTCAGGGTGCTACGAAGGTGAGTCTAGGCGTCAGTTGTTGCCTTCTGTGAAGAAACTCGGTGAGTCCAGCGTCCGCGTTAACTTTGGCTTGT